TTTCTGTATCTGGGAACCCATCTCTTATCAGTTCTGGAAATTCTCATTTATTATCTTTTTTAATATTGTTTTTTCATCTATTTTCTCTAGTCTTTTCCGCCACTCCTATTACATTAAATCTTATTCTATCCTCTATGTCTTAACCCCTCTTTTATGTTCTATGTTCCTGTCTCTTTGTGTTATATTCCAGGTAATTTCTTCAGATACATTAGTTAAATAATTCTCTTTTCATTTGTTTCTTATACACCGTTCAATTTGGTCATTGAGTTTTTAATGTCAACAATTATGTTTTTCATTTATAAATGTTTTACTTGGCTCTTTTCCAAATCTGCCTGGTCATATTTCATAGTATCTGAGTTACTTCCACACATTTATGATCTCATCTTGGATTTCTTTAAATATTTCCTATACAACCCTTGGTGTGCACAATTTTGCATTTAAAATGCACTATTTTGCATTTAATAATTCTAATACCAAAGGCTTGGGAGTATACATTTATTGTTTATAATTTTTGCTTTTTCTTTCATATGCTGGCTTATTCTCTTGCTGTTTGGTGGTGGCCTTTGATCCTGAATACATTGTGCTTGATCACTGGGAGTCTTGGGGGCCTAAATTGAAGTTATTTACTCCAGAAGAGGTTGTCATTTGCTTCTTCCATGACCCAGAGGACTGGTTGAGCCTCCTTCAAGGGTCATGGTTTATAGTGGGAGACTTGAAGTTGGCTTTTGCACCTTGCAATGGGCTTGGGGCTTAGTGTCAGATTTTATCCCACACTTACCTTTTAGCTCTTTCCTGGATTTCAGCTCACTGCCATTGTTTCTTTGTTTGGAGAGTTTGTTTGCCATTGCTGCAAGCCCAGCAGTGCATTAAAAACATGTTATATCCAGAATGTGGTAGAATTATAGCAGGAGGCCTTCAGAGGGTCAGTTTTGTCAGAAAAGTGAGAATGGATGGCATGTGTTCGTAATGTTCAAGGCATATGAACACAACAGCAAGAATTAGACAGGCACAAGTAGGTGTAGCCCACACTTCGAAACCTTAGGAACAATAAGACATAGACATAGGAAAGAACTAGAGCACATTTCAAAGCTCTCTCTGTCTCTCTTTCTCTGTCTACATCTGTCTATCTATGTCTGTATCTACAGCTGTATCATCTAAATGTCCTATACGTAATACAAAGGTAGAGATGGGTGAAGAACTGATACCCAGAGTAAGCATAGGATTTCCTTTAAAGGCCTGAAACTGGTACTCAGGGTGGAGGAAACAGCATGAACAGAGGTACTGGGAGGGAATAAGTATGGGATCATCTCTGTGTCTCTGTTTATAACAAGGGCCTTGCCTCACTATTATCCTTCTGGCTTCATAATTGCAGAATTTAACTAGTAATTTTGTGTACAAATATCCCTTTTGAGAGACTCCTATAATTTCCTTATTTACAATATGGATGCCCATTAGAGTCCTCATAGTCTTATCAGGTGACTTTTACATGTGGACGATGTATGGACTGTATTATTTACTCCTTTGATGATCATTGTAGCTAGGCGTGCTGAAATCAATCAAGCAACAGCATCTGAGAGAGATGCACCTTGTTTCCCACTTTTGCATGCAAAATTGCTGTTTTTTCCTTTCGTTGTCCACTTATTGAGGTGAGGTTTGAGAGTTCTGGTTTCTGGTTTTTAACACTGAAATCACCGCTGACTTGTCCATTAAGTCAGCAAAGTCTTTCCTTGGTACAGCAAAGTCTGTCCGGCTGAACCTCCATCTGGGCCTGTGGCATTCTACTGAACGTTGTAGTTTTCTCTATTCTTCAAAGCATAACTATCTGAAACAGGGTCTACTTCTGGGTTGTAAATTAGTTGTAGAAAATCTGGGCTTTGAACAAAAACCACATTTGAAAGCACATGTCTTCTTTTTTTATTGGCTTTTGCTCTAAAAAGCAAAGGCTGAAAAACAGCTGTTAGCTGTTTATACAGTAATTTTTTTTTTAAGTGTTAGACAATAGCTGTTTTCTTCTCCACTTACAATGGCACATTTTTTCTCAGGCCATTAAAGTCCTCTCTCCGTGTGGCCATGGGTATTGGTATGCACCTCCTCCCTTTCCCTAGGTTTCTGAGGAGACTAAGGGTTGTTGTTTTTTTCTTCCTTTCTTCAGTTTCTGGTTTTTGGTTTTGAATTCAGACTTTGGTCTCTCAGGATAGATGGCCGAATTTGGTCCCAGGCCAGAATCCTTCTGGGCCAACTTGACCCAGGTATTCACACAGGACACTCTAGAGGAAGCTTCTGTAGGTGCACAGTGTTGATGGTTTGTGGCTAGATGACATGGGCAGAATTAGATATTGACGTAGTGGTTGTTGCTGTCTATTCTACAGCCCTGAACATCGATTGTTTGCTTTCCTCTCTTAGGAATTCAGAAGACAATGCTTTCCAATCCCCTCATCCTTGGACGTGCTCTGAGGATGCTGCCATTTCTCATTATCCTCATGGTCCCAAGCAAGCAAGATCAGCAGGGCTCAGGGACGTACTGCACATGAGTGAAAAACACTCCCCAGCCTGCGAAAGGAACCAGCCAAAATGTTTTTCAGCACTCTTGTGCTGAGTGTTACCATAGCAATTCCTACTGTTTAAGACCATGGTAGCACCATCAAGTTACATGTTATACCAGGTTTTACTGGAATTTTATTTGCCTACAATTTGCCTCCTTTTAATTAATTTCTGTTCTTTCAGGTCATCAACTTGTATTGATTTTACTTATGGGGGAGTAGTCTAGCCTGTGACTTCTGGAAAAGATAGCTTCTTATACCTCACTAAGAAGACACAGGGGCTGGGTATGTCTCCCTGAGATCTCAGACATTCAGATCCTGCCTAACGAACATGAGCCTCTCCCTTCACTTACCTATCCATCACCCCATAGGCTGGGCCACCTCTAAACCAGTTTCTAGGACTTGGGATTTTTTTTTTTTTTTTTTTTTTTTTTTTTTTTTTTTTTTGAGACAAGGTCTCACTCTGCCAGCCAGGCTGAAGTGCAGTGGCATGATCACAGCTTACAGCTCACTGCAGCCTCTTGCTCCCCAGGCTCAGGTGACTCTCCCACATCAGCTTCCCAATAGCTCAGGTGACAGGAATGCACCACCACACCCAGGTAATTTTTGTATTTTTAGTAGAGATGGGGTTTCGCCATGTTACCCAAGCTTGTCTTAAACTCTTGGGTTCAAGCGATGCTCCCACCTCAGCCTCCCAAAGTGCTGGAATTACAGGCCTGAGCCACCACACCTGACAAACTTGGGAATTCTTACAAGGTGACGCCAGGGAAGCACTGCAAGCTTGTTAGAAACTGTCTTTGCAAAACTTATAACAGTTAGAAAATTATGACAGTGAAAAAGATCTGACCTGACCAACTTCATCTAACCTTTAACCTCCAAACTGCCCCAGTCATTCCTGGGCATGGGCCAAGATAACTCTGGGAGAATTTTATAGTTTAAATGATAATAACTCTTCCCAAAATGAAACTGCCTTTATAAAACTAATAAGAGGCCACAAGTTTAGGATTATGAGAGGGACTTGAATTCTGCTAAAATGTAGGCACAAAGGATTATCAGCCATTGTTCCAGAGGTCACAAGCTTTGTAACTTCCCCAATTACTCCTATAAATAACATCACTATTGTAGAACTTTTGAGATGTTTTTCCAAACTTTTGCATTTCTGATGACCGGATGACTCCACCTGGACCCGAGACTCATGACTCACCCTGTCCTGTGGCCCCACCCAGAAGTGGACTCAGAGCAAAAGGACCATTTTCTATACCCCAGTGAGCACCTCCCCAACCAATTAGCAGCACCCATTCCCTAGCCCCCGACTGCCAAACTCTCCTTGAGAAACCATAGCCTCCAAATTTTCTGGGAGGCTGATTTGGGTAATAATAAAATTTGGTCTCCTATGTAGCTGACCCTATGTGTATTAAACTCTTCCTCTATTGCAATTCCCCTGCCTTGGTAAGTCAGCTTTATCTGGGCAGTGGGCAAGAAGAATTCACTGGGTGGTTAAATGTTGAAATAAAGATATACCTGGATAACAGACAAGCTTTGTACCCTTCACAGAGACTCTAGGCATTTGTAAATCTATAGTGACAATGCCGCCTCCAATCCCCCAACAACCCTCCCCAAAGTACTCCTCCGTCTTATTCTTCATCACACATGACTAAACACATTTTGCTCTTATTTAGTAAGGGAACAGCACATTGTGATTGTTGCTTTTAGAATAATTGGTCCAAATTAGATAATTAGAAAAATAGTTCCCATAGACGTAACTCAAAACAGTAGGTTTGTATGACACTATTTCAAAAACAAGTTTTGTGGTTAAAATAATACCTCCCTTTGGGAGATAAGAGTTTTGGCATATTAAAGGCTCCAAGAAGTCCTGTGACAAAGACATTTTGTGGAACTCTGTTTTCACAGGACATCTATTAACCTCTCTCAGTACAGGCATGGGGAAAACATTTCCTGAAATCTGTCTTGAAGTTCAAGTTGTCAGCATCCTCAGGCACATTTGCCCCCTGGGAATCCTGGTTTCAGCTGCCCCATCCTGCTGCTGCCCTGTCTCCACTGATCCTCACCGATTTCCTTTGTTTACAGGACAGGGCTCAATAATGGGGCAGATCAGGGTCCCACACACTTCCTCAGAGTTTAAACTAAGAGGGGAGGGGAGCTGATGGTGGAGGGAAAAGCTGCCTCTTCTCCACTGTTGTCCTCACCCACCCTCTTGCTTACAGGGGGCTGCTTCTCTTGTGTGGCACATTTGCTTTCACTATTAATAACTGTATAGTTCATTTGCCATCCTGTTCTAATTGTGGCTCAGTTGGAGGGGGCATAGACATAATATGTGAAGAAGGATGCTGACCCACAGCTATTCTTCCAGAAAAAGGCAGACACCCCCAAAGTATAAGGGGAAGGGCACTTCCCCTTAGCCAGGTTGAGGCTGGCATGGAACATAAAGTCTAAGTTGAAATGGATATGGCCACCACAAGGAAACATGTGACTTTGCAAAGAGACAGATGGACAGTGACTTGGACAACTGTACCATATCAGAAGCACACCAGCTTCCTGAGCACAGAAACATCCATCTCCAGCCCAGAGATAGAAATGTTTGTAAAACAATGTAACAAGGTTCTGCCCAGTCTCCTACTAGGTGTCCGGGGAATGGGTCGGGGGGATAAGGAGGAGGAGGAGGAGGAGGAGGAGGAGGAGGAGGAGGAGGAAACAGGCGTGTTCTGGCCAGTAATTCTCTCAAACAGGGGATGAGTATTGTTGCCAGCAGGACTTCCCAAAGGAACGTATCTTAGTTCAGGCTGTCATAACAAAATACCATAGACTAGGGGGCTTACAAACAACAGAAATTTATTTCTCACAGTTCTGGAGGCTGGTACTCCCAAGATCAAGGTGCCAGCAGGATCGGTGTCTGGTTATGGCCCTAATCCTCATAGATGGCCACATTGTCACTGTAACCTCCCAAGGCAGAAGGGTGAGGGGTCCAAGGCAGAAGGGGTGAGGGGTCCAAGGCAGAAGG